CCATTACTATATATATATATATATATATATATGTATCTATATGTATATGTACATACAATTGCATACTTCCGCCCATCACCCCCCCACCCAAGCAAGCAAGCACAAAAGACAAATTATCCAGAAACGTCAATCATTCATTCCATCGTCCATCCTTTAAACACATGCAGCAGCGATATATGATAAGTACGGAAGTCGGAAGAAAAACGTTTCATTTATCCATTACTGACTGATTACCTATTTACGGCAACAGCGACCTTTTTTTTGGTATCTAGTCTATGCGCCTTTGAAAATACCCTTATGCACATTCACTTTGATCCACCCCATTAATTCCCCCCCCCACCCCTCCCCCGCCAGTTCCCCCGCCAGTTTCAGAAACGGTCGGCTGCTAGCTTACCGCTTAGCCAGAGCCGAAGCCAATGCCATGTCATACCACCCCACAACGACGGCACCACCACGATGCAGCAAATGCAAATCGACAACACAGACAGTCTATACGCAACTCATCATCAACCCAAATCTGTAGGGCGCTTCTTCCCGTCATCAAGCTCTCAAGCGCTGGGAACTAAAAAAAATCGAAAAATCTAAAGCTCTCCGCCCGATCTAATTTCGCCTTCGAATGCAGGGAAGAGAGAAAGAACACGCGTTGTATATGAAAAGGGAAGAAGGAAAACCCCCTTGTCACTGAATGCAGAATGCTCCCTCACAGTGGAGAATTCCAACCGAAAAGCAAAAACTCCCTTCGCAATGCAGCCCTTTCGAGGGAGAACCCTTCTAACCCCCACCCATTGGTCGAGTCTAACCCATACTATTGTTGCTCATGTTCGTTTGTACACCCGGGACGGGGGAGTCGATGTGTTGATTGATCGGCTTGAAGAGTTGAGCCATGTCCAGTGTCAGGTCCGTCACGCCGTAGTCCTTGTGAATATCGTTGACGGAGCCCAGTTCCTCACCACGCTTTGAAGTATCGGCCTGAACCCAAGTCTTCACCGACTTCAACAGCTGCATCATCTCAGAAAAGCGCTGGTCGGGAGCCGTCCCGCAGTCGAGACCACGGACGTTCTGCACGAGGTATTTGCCGAGCCAGTAGAAGTGGATGGCGTCCCGACAGAATCCGAATCGGCGGTAGTTGGAAGACGAGGGCGGGTACTGGATAGCGATATCGTCGTCCCAGGTCTTTTTCCACTTGTCAAATGCCACGTTGAGCGACTTGATGGCCTGCGCGGACTGGCCGGCCGAGTCGGTCGGGGTGGCTCGACCACTGGTATTGGTGCTGTGTGCACCACTACTAGAGATATCTCCTCTCCTCCAGTCTGGTGTGCTACTGCCACTCACAGGGAATGCTACCGGTTGGCTAGATTCTTGCTGAGAAAGATGACGCTGAGCGGCCCAAAGTTGGACGTGCAGGGCGTGAACCAGGATGAACTTAGAGTAGAGATTGGTCCCTGCGGTCACAAGCCCATCGCCGTACAGGAGCGCCTTCATGGAGGCTGCAAAGTCGGGTTGTTTGGGTTGGCGACTGCCTTCTGGGTTCTTATCGCGTGCCGCAGCAGGACCACACAAGCCCAGAGCTTCAGCACATTCGGAAGAAGATGGAGCGTCCCAGGCAGCATCATCGGCAGGCAGAGGAAGACGAATCTCGTCTCGCTCGAAACGTGGCGGGGTATTGAAGAAGATGACCATGACGGAATCTAAGAGGAAAATAGCAAACATCAGTCGGGAGCGCTTCTCCTGCTCGACCCACGCATTCCAGTCGAAGCTGGCGGCGTCCAAGTTCTCGACAGGGACATTTGGCTGGTGCAAGATACTGCGCGGGGAGATGGTCATTGGCTTGGTCAGGCCTGCTCGTCGAGCGATCTCGGCAATAATGGGGAAGTCTCTGCGAGCCTTCTCACGTTGCACAGGAGTGCCGTTCCAGGTGAAGAGGATCTGCATCATGTAAATCGCGGTAATCTGCTCCAATTCGGACTTGCTCGAACCGATAGTCTCACCACCAAAGCCAGAATCACCAGTCTGTTCCCGGGACACGATTGAAAAGACCTGCGAGTTTCGTTCAATGGCAAGCTTGGCAAGCTCCATCATTTCACGCACTTGAGTAGCGGGAATGCGATCGCTATATACAGCACCAATGCAGATGATCGCCAGCAAGAGACCGTCAAATGCCTCCGCAATCTGGAACGTGGGCATATGGATGATGGGGAAGTGACCCTGAAAGCTGGTAAACCGCTCCAAAAGATGCTTGATATTTGCAGCGGTGAGGTAGTTGCGAATGTTGTTGCTACGACCAATAATTTGGTTTTGTGGAAAGCAGAAGAATATGAGTCTGTTGGATAGCTCCTCGAGAGGATCACTCTGCAGGTTCCAGGCAGCACATGACGATGGCTGGTTGGGACCACTGGGAACGCTGCCGTAGATACCTGTGAAAATCGCATCGTTAGAGTTGTTGTTGTTGATAGATGGCTCAGACCTGAATTCCTGCTTGATCAAGACGGGGGCATCGGCAACGTTGGGATTGTACGGATTAATGGTGTACGCGGTAGGCGGAGGGGGCTGGAACATTTGCGACCAGTCTTGGCTGGCCGGGGGTTGAGTCGGCAAGGAGGTGCTGTTGCCGTGGGAGGCATAATCATAGCCCTGAGTAAATGAGTGACCGTTCTGACGAGTGTGTTGCATACTGAACGCGAGTGAAGGATTCATACCAGGGGCCATGCTCGTCACCGATCCGGCATAACTTTGCTGATCAAAGCTAGTTCGGTTCGAGCCTCCTGGGCTGGGCCCAGGCATACGATTACCGTGCCTACCTCCCAGTCCACCAAGCCCTCGTTGGCGCATCTGCTCTTGTTGCTCGTCGGTCAAGTTCGCGGTGGCGTCGGGACAAGATCCATCTGGGGAGATGCCGAACGGGTTAGAGCTCATCGATCCACCGTTCATCGATCCGCCGTTCATTGATCCACCGTTCATCGATCCACCATTCATCGATCCACCATTCATCGATCCGCCGTTCATGCCATTGACACCCATGAGCTCATTTCCGTCGGGCATGGAATTGGTACTACGGTGCGGGCCGGAGTTCGGCTTCTTCAAGTGAGCTTGAGAGTGGGAAAGATGGCTGGCACCGGTTGGGTTTCCGCGACGTATGGAGCACTTCTGGAAGTGACGCTTCAAGATATCACTGCGGGAGAAAGTATCTCTGCACAGAATACACATGTAGGGACGATCTCCGGTGTCTGCTCCAAATTAGAGCCTTTTCTTCTCCAAGAAGGCGGGGGGCCAAATAAAAAAAAACACTTACGTCTGAGAAGATGTCGCTTCAGGTGCTTTGCATGCAGGTACGTCTTGGTGCAGTGAGGGCAAGGGAACTTTCCATCGGCGTCCTTGGCGGGAATCAACGCGTGCTTACCGGAGGAGTTGGCCGATACGGCGGGTCTGCCTGGCGCGCTGGGCAGGATACCTCTCCGACCTTGCGATCCGACGACGTGTGTAGGGGGCTCCATATCCTGCATGAGCATGTTGTTTTGGCCATAAGGATGCATACCCGGCTGCATCTGCATACCGTTTTGGGGCATGGGCCGAATGGGCTGGTTGCCGCGACTTAGCAGAGACGCGGAGGCAATTGGCTGTTGTTGGGACATGGCAATGGCGGCCTGGGGAAGCCCGTATCTGGTATCCCCTTGGTGGTAGTTGGTGGAGGGCATCATGGGGGCGAAGCGCTGGCCGCCTATTTGATTAATCAAGTTCCCCATGGGGTTATTCGCGGAGACAGGAGTGCCAGGGGTTGACCCATTCCGCGGGGTGTGTGGCGCGCTGCCCGGGTACTGATTGAGGTGAGCAGGCATCGTGGCTTGCTGAGTGGCCTGCTGGGTGGCTTGCATGGGGGGCAGCGTGGTGTGGTGATGAGAGGAGGACTGCTGCTGTTGCTGCTGTTGCTGTGGCTGCTGCTGTTGTTGCTGCTGCTGCAGCTGGTGGGGCGAGACGTTGGAGGGGTAGGGCGAATTGGTATTGCTCATCCCATTGCCTTGATGGCCATACTGCGACCCGTCCATGATAGCGTATGGACAGGCTCGTATCTGTCGAGGTGGGATATTTGAGGGTCTGCCCCTGTTTTCCTCCACCGGAAGAAGCTGGATGGGGGCCAGCTAATTGATGTATGTAAGGTAAACGAACCGGGACGGGGTGGGTGTGTAATGCTGGTGTTCGAGCTCAACTGTTGTGGGGAAAAAAGATTGAGTTGTTGGGGATTGTTCGTCTTCGTCTGCGACGAAGAGCGACGATCGTTCTGACTAGTCTAGTGACGATCGGGGTGTAGCTTGATTCGGGCAGAGTGGTGTGATGTGTGGTGTTGCGCGGGCGAATGACGCCGGGGCCGAGGGAGGAATGGGTAGGCGCAATCCAAGGTTGACTTGAAGCGCCCAGTCAAGTCACGTCGGCTCGCGGTCGAGGTGGAAGTGGGAAGTCAGTAGAGCGGGTGATGTGGAGGTGGAGGGGGTGGTGTTGGTGATGGTGATGGTGATGGTGATGGATGGTGGATGGATGGATGAGGCTCAAGTCCCGTCGAGGATTGATTGATCTCGAAATTCGAAGTAAAGTGGGCCCCGAACCGAAGGTAGGTGTGGTGAGTGGATACGGTAGAGTGGATTGGGGCGGTAAACGGTGGGCGTAGGCGGGATCAGATCAGATGGAACGGGGACGGGGACGGGGACGGACGGCCCAGAAGAGAAGAAAAAAAGGAAGAAAAAAAACCACCACCAAATGGTCAGTCAGCCTTCCATGGATGGGCGGGGGGGGGCAGCACAGCAGACCGTTGCTTGCGTGCTTGGGGTGCTTGGTTGTGCTGGCTACTCGACACCAACAATTGAAGGCGTCGAGAAGATGGGAATGGGACGGGGAGGGGGACGTAGATTCGGTGGTCAAAGTCGAGGAGGATGGTTTTGAAGAATGGATATGAAAGTGGATGTAGAAGTGGGTGTGGAGGGTGGGTGTGGAGGGTGGGTGTGGGTGTGGGTGTAAGTGTAAGTTGTAAGTGTAAGTGCAAGTGTGGGTTGTGGAAGTGTGAAGTGTGGGAAAAAAGAAAAGCGGAAGAGAGAAAGAAGCTACTCTAGGACGAGCGGTCGGTCGGCATGCCGCTTTAAGACCCCCGGCGCAGAGGACCCTTGACGCGTGCGTCTACTGGGATTGGAGTCAGGGGGGAAGACACCCTCGACTCAGGTGATGGGATGGGATGGGATGGGATGGGAGGGGAGGGGGAGGGGGAGGGGGAGGGGAGGGGAGGGGAGGGGATGGGGTGAGATGGGGGAGAAACTCGAGAAGAGAGAGAGAGGCTGATCGGGAACGGGTAACGGGAATGGGAACTGGAACTGGAACTGGAACTGGAATCCGTTGAGGTTGGAACGGGAACTCGACCTGCAAATTCGCCGGGAAGATGTGACAACTGCAGATTATGGTCGGAGAGCAGGGCACCACGGCATCACCTCATCCATGACCGAGATTTGCCCATGCCCATCATGCCATGCCGGCCGGACTTGCTAGCTCGTTGCTGCTCAGACGAGAAAAAGTCGTCCTCGTCTCGAGCGAGTCTGTAAACATAGCGATCTATATTCACACTACGACGATACGACGACTATACTACGACTGTCCTACGACTACGTACGACCGAGCCGCACTGAGCCGCATCCGGAGAGGTTGAGAAGCGGCGCGTGTAGCGCTCAATATCTCGGTGTGCCGAAGCGAGGTAGGAAGGAGGAAGGAGGGCAAGAACGGCATCGTCTACGTGCTATTCTTTAAGTCTACTTCAGCAAATCGACTTCTCTAATACTCTATTACTATTACTCCATTACTGCGAGACTCTATTACTGTATTACCGTAATCGATGACGGTGACTTATTATTAGATCTTCTCCCGTTGTACCTAGGTACTAGTACCTAGGTACCTACTACTACGTACTACCTGCCTACCTACGGTACCTGCCTACCTACTACGTACCTACCCACCTACCCACCTACCCACCTACCCATCTAGCCTGGTCACGCTTACTGTGCATTCGACATTTCCTCATAGGCTGCTCTCTTTCGGCACCGGCATGACCATTCCCTGTACCTACCCATCCATCACCAACGTCATATCTCCATCTCCATCTCCATCGCCATCGCCATCGCCATCACTCAGCCCTGAGCGCCAGGCCGGTGCACTAAAGGAGCAAAAGGGGTCGGAGCTGCAGCGTAACGTCCGTCTGAGAGTCGCTCGCTACCGACCGTATCGACCTCGTACTGATCCGTACAGCACATCCCAAATGTCTGGCGACGTGGCTGCACAAGCGTGATCCTTTCATCTTCCTCCCTGCCCCATTGGTAGGGAGGGATCCATTCGATCCATCTGGGGAGGCGGGACATCTATCTGGCTCATCTTCCTCTTCGTCTTCGTCTCATCCACGTCGATCGGCTATTGACTCGGTGGGTTCATGCCGCCAAGTTCCTTGTCATTCGTGTGAAACGGACGGCAGAAGGCCGGCCCGCTACTCCCGGCTGGCAGGACCGGGGGGCGGGGGGAGAGCAAAGCTGCCAAAGCCAGGACCGGCGAGGAGAAGAATCGACGCAAGAGCCGATTCTCAAAAGAGAGGCGCAAAGACCGGTCACGCGATGCTCTAGGTATTACTACCGGTACATGTCCAAACTTCTATGCCATTATGGAGCTCACTACCTTTGTGCTTCCTTACCTAATCAGCTAGTGACTACCACGGATTGGGGGAAAAAAAAAAAAAAGAATCCCCCCCCCGAAGCCCTCTTGCACCTTGCACACATCAACAACGCCTGCCTTGCTATATAATATAATACAGTATATTCCTGCATCAATTCTCCCAGGACGCGACTCATCCATGGCACAATCAGGCAGGTATGCCGAAGGGCGAACGTCGGCTAATCCGTAGCCCAGCAGTCACACGGTATTACTGTATGTACGGAGTAGAGTAAAAACAGCGTTCCTCGCGGCAAAAGGCAGAGGCCAAGCCCCCTCCCCCCCCAAAGTTTAAGGATCAACAACCTCTTCTCTTTCCCCTTCACCCTGCATACCAAAGAGCCGAATCGAGTCGGTCCAAGCTCGGAAGCACAGTCAAAAAGAAAAAAGAGAAGAAAAAAAATTAGGTGAAATACAAATAGACGACGAGCGAGTCGATCCCGACGGACTAGACCTTGACCAGGACCACGACCATAATCTGACAGCGACGATCGCTACCTGCCCGTCGGCAAACCGAACGGCAAGACAGGGAAGAGAGAGAGACAGAGAGAGAGAGAGACACATCCGGGCGGGCAGCAGCCGTGCGAGCGAAGTACCATGAAGATATGAAGCGAAAGAGTCAAGATCCAAGGATCGGGTTTGACCGCCGCAGGATTCAGGATGAGATGACGATCAAAGCGCCGAACGACGCGCCGAAAAAAGAGGGAGATGAAGATGAAAGCGGAAGAGGAAGATAGGAAAATAAAAGGGAAGGGGGGGAAAAAAACCCGTTACCCGGGCGATAGGTACAGTGCAGGCTCCGGGCGTAATTCAGAGTGCCGGATGGGTTGGTTTCTCGTTGCTTCAATCAAGCGTCCACCGTCCCACGTCAGCCATCGCTCATGGCTCCACATCGATCACCAGCGGCCACCGCTGGCGGTATGTCCATATCCATATCTACATCGACGTCGGCGTCGGCGTCGGCATCTTTACACCGTACCTATCGAACCGCCTCGAGATGGTGAGATCCCGGCGGCTGCAGCTGGCACGCCGTTGCTTATTGTACTGGTGCGCAAGTATTTGGATCATGAATATATGCACGCATGTACTCAAATCAAACTAACCAGCCAACACGCCGAAGCAAACCAATAACAGGCTCAGGATACTAAGCCGGGTTCTCGCTCCGGTTAATACTACGTAGCATGATTCACAGTTTTTGGATGAACTCAGTAAACTAACGTATGCAGCATTACGAAACTTCACTCTTTTCCTCTCCTTTTTTTTTTTTATTTGGACCTCCCTCTTTCGTCCTCCTCTTCTCACCCTCTTGTTCTGGGAGTTCTCCATCCACCTCTTTCTTTCCTGAACTAAATATAAGTCCACTTTATTAATCAATCCGTCTCCAAAGTCTACCTACCTCTCTACCCTGCCTATATCACACGTCTCTATCTCCTACGTAGCTCGCGGTCCTGTCCCTACCGTACCTAAGGTAGCTAGTAGTAGGCATCTGGTTGTACCTGCCTATCTACCTACGACTAACGACTGACTATATTTATCCCCTACCCCGAGTGAGTAACAGGGCCGGATCCCAATCCAGGGGTGGCACGGTTAGGGGTTCTTTCCTGCTTTGTTCCGGTTTAGGCTCGTGCCCAGTGCCCACCGCCGTGGCCTGCCTGCCTGCCTACGGTAGGTACCTCCCTAGGTACTCTACCGCTGACCTTACTCACTCTACCGCTGACGTTTATTTAAAGAGGGGAGGGGGGAGGAGGGGGGAGAGGGGGAGGGGGAGAGGGAAGGGGGGTACCGGTACTACAGTACTGTAGGTACTAGTTCCATACGGGTCCTGCGGAGTCCTTTTCACAACTACCTACCGGTAGTCTCTAATCAATCGTCACACATCACTCCCCGGGACGGCGTATCTCTCTTTTCGAATCTCGAGAGAGGAGGAGCAGAAGAAGAAGAAGTAGAAGCAGAAGAAGAAGAAAAAAAGGAGCCGACCCAGCCCGGCCCGGACTCGGAACTTGACCTTGATCTTGAACTTGACCTTGACCTTGATCTTGCCCTTACCCTACCATCATCTCCTCCCTCTCCTCGTGTAGTGAGCCTCACGCATACATCCATACATACATCCATCCATCCACACATCCACACACACACACACACACATCCATCCATCCATCCATCCATACACACACACTGCACGCGACATGACGCGCGCGTCCCTGGATGGGAATCAGACTCAGAATCAGACTCAGACTCAGAATCAGAATCGGAATCGGAGTCGGAGTCGGAACTACAAGTAGAGCTGGACCTCTTCGGCACGAGTCACTCCCGAGCCGGGTTTTCTGTTAGGTATTGAGGGGGTTGGGTTGGGTTGGGTTAGGCTGGGCTGGGCTGGGCTGGGCTGGATTCGATGCTCAGATCGTCGCAGCCCTTTTCTCTCCTCCTTTTTTTTCTTTTTTGGTTTCTTGGTTTCTTGCTTTTTAGTCGGTTATTCAGTTATTCAGTTATTCATTCATTCATTCATTCATTCATTAAGTTATTCAGTTATTCATTCATTCATTCACACTTCCTTCCCTAGAGTGAGAGTGAGATTGAGAATGAGAGTGAGATTGAGATTGAGATTGAAGCGAGCGAGCGAGTGAACGGCCCCGGCACCATCCATCCATCCATTCATTCATTCATCCATCCATTCATTCATCTACCTTACCTATCCATCCACTCTCGCATCTCAAATCTCCTCTCTCACTCACACCCACACACTCACACCCACACACACACACACTACCTACCTACCCACCTAATCCTCCGACTCAGAAACCCCCTCCTCCCCATCCAAAGCCAACACTTACTCCCAACTCCAAACCCTCAATCTTCACTCCCTCGTCAAAAGGCGTATTTATTGTTCTTTCGATTCTCTCTCTGTTGCCCTTATTTCTCCCCCCCCCCCTCCCTTTTTTTCTCTCTCGTCTTTTATATTCGTCTCTCTCTCTCCCTCTCCCTCCCTCTCCCCCCCCTCCCCTCCTCTTCCTCACTTCAACCAACCAACCAACCCCCCCCCCCAAAGTGCAACCCTCCCAAATTCCAATACCGCTCGGTACCCATCGAATCCCGACCCCTCCCAAGTTTTCCCAAAAGTCCAACGTCCAGATTCGAATCAATATATACCAAAAATAAATATAATATATATATATA